AGCCATTATATATATATATTGCTCACAGATCTCGCTAGGTTCCTTTATTACGCAATTAAATGTTATTAATAAGAATTTCTGAGCGAAAGTAAAGAACAGTGTGCAATAATATGTCAACCACACTATATACAGTGCCAACGATGCCTTTCGCTGAATACCAGGGCTCATCAACCACTTACCAAGCTTTTTTTCTTACATTATATACTACTTACAGATTCTAATACCAACTACCTTTCTGTAGCTATACATTGTTTACGGATCTCATTAGTTGCCTCCTTCTCTTTCTGTGTTTATACGTTGCATACAAGTGTAACAAGGTACTTCTTTCTGTAGCTATATATTGTTTACGGATCTCATAAGTTGCCTCCTTCTCTTTCTGTATTTATACGTTGCATACAAGTGTAACAAGGTACTTCTTTCTGTAGCAATATATTATTCACATATCTAACTATGTACATTCTTTCTGTAGCTATAGAGTGTGTCCGCTAGTTTCATAGTTTTTTTTTAATTATGTTGTTTTGATTTTAACTACAGTATTGAGAGATACTTGAACGATAGCCATCTTATTCTTAAAGCAGTATTTACTGGAGATAACTATGTATTGGAATAAAAAAGAGAAGTCACTCATGGATTTGGTTTAAAAACGATATATGTTTATATATATTTTTTAGATATCACATAATGATGCAGTGTTGGCACCCTATTCCAGAAGAACGACCAAACTTCTCCACAATAATAGAACGTCTAGGTTACTGTATGCAGGTAGGGTTTAATATAAAATTACATAGTGACGTATACTGAGGCTCTTGACAAAATAACTTTGACATATGTTATTGAGAAGATACATGCAAGCATTATCTATTAAATACGATAAAGATAAGCATGTCAAACCGAATTGCAATGATCAGAAAACGTGTGTAGGCGTCAAGTGAACAACAGTATGATTTTATTATAATGTAATCAGATATCACGAATGATGACAACCATGTCGCTTGCTGTTATCTTAAGTTGTTTTCAATCTTCTTGTTTATCTTCTTCCTGAAGACAGTTGTTTACCAGAAAGCAATCTAGAAGCGATTTATCAAATCTTCATTTCGTAGAAAATGTGGTTTTGTAAGAGAAGAATCAAATGAAATGTGAAATCTCTTTATATTTCCGCTTTTTTAAATTAATCGTTGAAAAAAATTAGCGCACTCACTTGAATATATAGACTTTAATAAATATACCAGAAACAAGATGCTATACTCGTCAATTTGAAGAATATTCAATTACAATCACCCTTTTCTTCTCAAAATATATTTCTGTATATCATTGGTTTTAAGGAATACCCATGCTCAAAATAAAGCATATCTCAAAGCGTTCTCAAAACCAGTATCACCCTTTTATTTGACAAAACATCGCAGTAAACACCTGACATTTTTAAGTAAAAGAATATTAGCAAGGTCGTCGCAACTTTCAAGTGAGATAAATATCGTTCAAGAAGCATTACTTCATATAGTTTGTCTTACTAAAGAAGCATTTCATTCAGTGTCAAATACACGTTATCAGTAAATAACTTCACATTAATCTCTCATGATGTATTGTACAATAGATGAAAAATGTGAAAATACTATTCTTCAGTTATACTTCTGTAGAGAAATAACAGTAGAGTGATATGAAAAACGATCTGTATACTTAGTTCTCTTGTTACGAGTCTTTATTCAGTTGAAAAATCTGCATTTAAACTACTGTTTGTTTTAAATTCAATGTTCGACGCCTCTGTTCATCAAATCACTTTGTTACATCCTCGGCGATAAATAAAACAGTTGTTAAAAAACATATTGTAAGGGATTTTACCTGATCCTGATTGATAAAAAACATGTTTTAGAAAACATATAATGAGGGATTTTATTAATAATGAGTGATGATAGAATAGATATTCGAAAGAGCATCATAAGAAATTTTATCACATTCTGAAACAAACCACTTCATTTTAATGAGTAATAATAAGACAGATGTTACAAACCACTTCATTTTAATGAATAATAATAAGACAGATGTTACAAACCACTCCATTTTGATGAGTAGTAATAAGACAGATGTTACAAACCACTCCATTTTGATGAGTAATAATAAGACAGATGTTACAAACCACTCCATTTTGATGGGTAATAATAAGACAGATGTTACAAACCACTCCATTTTGATGAGTAGTAATAAGACAGATGTTACAAACCACTCCATTTTGATGAGTAATAATAAGACAGATGTTACAAACCACTCCATTTTGATGAGTAATAATAAGACAGATGTTACAAACCACTCCATTTTGATGAGTAATAATAAGACAGATGTTACAAACCACTCCATTTTGATGAGTAATAATAAGACAGATGTTACAAACCACTCCATTTTGATGAGTAATAATAAAACAGGTGTTAGAAAACTTGTTGTGAAGAGTATATGAAAATCTTCAGAAATCAAAATACAAAGGTTAAAAACGTATCATAAATGTATCACGCTCTCAGTATTAAAACAACACATATTAGAAAGCATATCATCAGGGATACTCAGTGATCAAATGTCATTTGATATAATAACAGGAGTTAGTAATAATTTTTAAACTATTTTGTCACATCCTTAGTTTGAAAACGTATAGGTAGCCTTGTTTTACAATAGTTTTATCTGTGATGCTGTAGTACTTTGTTTTAAAATAAGCAATGCTTATAATCCTTCACTTGTATCTTTACAGGATCCAGACGTTATCAACTCACCCCTGCCGGAGCTCAGCTGCTCTCCGTCGGTAGAACGTGACGTCACAGTCATGCGACCTTCAGACTCTGAGAATGCTTGTTTACAGGTTTGTGTTCTTGAGCACACTTGTGTTTAGCTATAAAAAATATCAAGGAAACACATTTTATAATTCAACCAGTTTCTAATGGCACTCTTATTTCTTTCAACAGGTTGTTATTAGATGTTTTGCATCACTTAAAAAACTGAGTGTTAGCTGGTTTGTTTAGGGTCACGACATCAGTTAATGTTATTAAAAAATTAGGTAATACGTGTTTTAGAAGAAAGTGCAATATAGTGCTTGTTATTTTCTGAAGTGTTTGAGCCATATATTCTTGCAGTGTGTTTAGTTTATATAAATGGGAAGTTTTACTCTTTTTTGACCGTCAAACAAATATGATTTCATGACTTCGGTTTCGTTTATATTCTGTTTGAGGACGTCTGATCTTTCTTTTGGTACATCCTGTACCTCCCTCCTTGACTGTTTGTTTAATTCTTAAATGTCGTAGATGAAACCCAATGTTAATTCTCTGATACTATTCGCTCCAGAGGATATGGTTTGGTTTGAATTTCGTGAAAACCTACACAAGGGCTATCTGCCCTAGCCGTCCCTAATTTAGCAGTGATAGACTAGCCAACTCTTGGGCTACTGGTTTACTAACGGATAGTGGGATTGACTGTAACATTATAATACCCCTACGGCTGAAATTGCGAGCTTGTTCGGTGATGGGGATTCGAACCGGGTATCTTTAGATTGCGAGTCGAGCGCCCTAACTACCAAGCCATGTCAGGCCCCTGAAGACCTAGAATTCGGTCACGACTTATTTGATCGCTCAGATAACACCTTTTCAGCTATCACCTTATGAAGTATTTTACAACGAAATGTAAAAAAACAAATCCTATAAAGTTAAACAAAAAAATCTTCGATTTTGACTATTTTTATTATTTAATACTTTATAAGTTTTAATTTGCCCCCCAGTGGCACAGCGGTATGTCTGCGGACTTCAAACGCTAGAATCCGGGTTTCGATACCCGTGGTGGGCAGAGCACAGATAGCCCATTGTGTAGCTTTGCGCTTAATTACAAACAACAAACAACAACAAGAAGTTTTAATTTCTAAATTGATACTACATTAAGGTTACTTTATATAAAACTCAAGAGCATTGAATTCAAAAATTATTTTAAATATGATATCAAAAATCTGTCCAAAAATTCCCTAGTAAGTAGCGTCCTTAGACTTTGAATCCGAAGGTTTATTGTTCGCGCCCCATTGTCGCAAAAGCGCGATCCGCACGTTGGGGTCCTGAGTACGTTATAAGAGTGACAGTCAAATCCGACTTTTCGATGACTGTTAGTTCTGTGTGCTGTTGACTGGCTGACTTCTCTGTAGTCTTTCGCTTCAAAATTAGGAGTGATTATATTGGTTATTTTGAAATAAATGATCAACGTTATCAATATATAATTATTTTTAGTCATATAACATCCTAAAGTTAGGTAACTGTAACTGACTAGATGTTCCCTTTTTTGGGTTAAATCGATGTTAAATAATGTATGGATAAATTGGAAATTTATTTCGAATCCGATCTAAAAATCAATCTTGCAGTTTTTAGAACTTTCGTGCAAAGCTATACAAGGACTGTCTTTGCATAGTCATTCTAATTTTGAACTTATAGTGGGAGTTGACTATCACTTTCATAGCGCATCCAAAGTGCGAAGCAGGTTTTAGCGACAACGAGATGTAAACCGTGAATTCTCAGATTCACAATCCGAGTTATGGACCATGTCGTTAGATAAGATTATGATTACGGAACTGGAATTCTCTTTCAATGAAATTCATACTAAATTACTAACCGACCAAACATGTGGACTTTAAGTTCATTTTCCCTGTGCTACATGTTAAGTTTATCAGCATTGAATCGTAAAAAACAAAAAAAAAACAAAACTTTGAAAAAGTCACAACAACTACTACATGTGAATTTTGAGCGTCTATGCAAACAGTAGCACAAAAGTACGTTCCAAGAATGTTTAGCTTGTTAAAGCTTATCATACTGGTGCACTACACAACATTATAGTCTCAGTGTTACGTTACCTTATACTTAAAAAAAAAAGACGTATAAAATGCCAAAATACTTCGACACATACAATCAAAACATTATAATTGGCTGATGTTATATATATAAAATAAGAAATTTTAACTCGGCAGTATTTCCCACCAAACATGCTCGCCTTTTCAGCCGTGGAGGCGTTATAATGTTACGGTCAATCCCACTATTCGTTGGTAAAAGAGTAGCCCAAGAGATGACGGTGGGTGGTGATCTGCCTTCCCTCTAGTCTTATACTGCTAAATTAGGGACGGCTAGCGCAGATAGCCCTCGTGTAGCTTTGCGCGAAATTCAAAACAAACAAACAAACAGTTTCCTGATTACATGTTTATCATTTTATATCTTTTTTAACACTTAATACGAAATATTTCTTCCAGTACATTCCTTAACTAACTTAAATTATATCAAAAACTTGTTTGAAATTTTAATTTACAGAGCAATAAAGTAACCTAATTGTCATTCTTACAAATATACGCTGTAAATCAAAACTTTTGTTAATATCAACACTTCCTGTGTTCTGTGGAACACAAGTCTAGTATATTAAATGACTGCAACACAAGTTCAAGTTAAAAACAACACAATCCCCGTGGACTAATAAAACACAATGTGTTGATTGATGAACAGTCTTTTTCTCGAGTTGTATACAGCCTATATACATATGAACGGGTGACTTTACAACATAATAGTGGAATTAAAGAAATCCAAGTAAGTTTGAGTTAAAAATCGCACGATATTTTTGTTGTTAGATAGCAACCAAACGTATGTGTTTATATTGCTACAAAAATAAGCTGTGTGAAAATTTACACAAGGTTGTGTCTGGTGGCACAATTTGTTTCGTAAAATAGCACAATATTTGCATGTTAATTCACAATACAAGTTTTCTTACAGTGTAGCTTATGGTTTCATTTCTTAAAATATTCATTGCATGAATCTATAGTTTGTTCTCAGTGTGTAAGTTGTGTCTTAACATGAAGTATGATGAAAAAGGGTGGTCCAAAAGTAATAAGACTCTGATGATAATAAATCAGAAATATTTTTTTTGTATTTTTAGCCAGTTGCAGAACCAGTTCCTACGATGAAATAAATCCCCCTTTAACTAACATTTTCCACTTTCATTTATGTTTGTGTCTACGTTGGTTATCTGGATAGGAACTAGGTCTACGTTGGTTATCTGGATAGGAATTGTGTCTTCTTTGTTTATCTGGATAAGAATTGTGTCTTCGTTGGTTATCTGGCTAGGACTTTGTCTAAGATAGTCATTTGGATAGAAATTACGTCTAGAGTGGTCAGTTTGATTGTGTTGTGTGCGTTGGTTATCTGGATAGAAATTGCTATCGGAAAATATATTTTTCTATGTATCTTTTAGATTCTCATTACTTTTGAGTCATCCTATTTATGTGTTGGTATACCAAAAATATAATATGTGTGAGTTTTTATATATTTCGAGTTGGATAGTGTTACATACATATTAACTGGTCTTATTTTATTGTCAAATTTCTGGATTGTGAGATTGACATGATATATTCTTCAATTTGTTTACCATTAGGTTAATCGTCCCCATCTGGATCCACAATCACCAAGCTCAGAAGATTACCTTATCCCAATGCCTTCATCTAATTACAGCCTAAACACTGAGAAAACTGAGCTACAGTCGAGTGTTGATTCGATGGAAAAGCTGCTTGACTTGGAGGAGAAGCCACCCATACCCCCTCGAAACTCTAATAACGGAGTAATATTACACCCTTCATTTAATACCTGGGAGACTAGCTTTATTCAGACAAACCAGAAGAATCGTGCTTTTGTCCCAGCAAACAACCCTCTACCCCCACGTAATGATGAAACACAGAAAGATAACAACCGAGAGCAAAAAAACGATCGTCCTGTCAATCATTCTCAGGATTTAACAGGGTCACAGTCTCCTTTGCTGGACTCTGCTGAGGCAAGATCAAATCAGAGCAACCCAAGTCATGGCGTCAGTTACAGTGCCAAGCCAGAAAAAAACCAGAATCTGAGTCAACAGTGGAATGAGAATTGGAAAACAGAACCTGTTGAACGAGTATCAAGTCTCAGGTCATTAGAGACCCTATCTATCACACCAGGGGTCAATAGAATACCGGTATCATCTAACAGTATAAGTGTTAATGACATCACGAAAAAAGATACTACCAATCAAGGACATCGCTCAAATCTCTCTCTGGATGCCTCTGCTCTTACGCGACAGATAAACAACCAACCAATAGCTTACATCAACGTGGATGTGAACTCCAACAGCAGCACCAACCTCCCTCTAAGTCGAACTACATCATATGACCAGAATGTGGCCAACCACAACCTACGCGTAGATAACTATCCAACAACTGGTGGGATTTCCAGTATCTCTCATAGCCTGGATTCGAACGAAGGACAGGTAAGCTGTTAGAGGGTATGAGCGGGAAGAAGACTTCTTATGGTATGAAAGAAACAAAACATTTTTCTTTTACTTCCATTGAAATGTACCATCAGCCAAAGTACCTGAAACAATGGCTTCTCTGGTGAAAATGGTAAATTGGTCATTTCTACACTGAAGTAAACTTCAGTTGCTCAAAATAATCAAACAGATGTAAAACAAGAGCGAGCTTCAGTATTCTGTATTTTGTTGACTAAAGTAAACGATAAACAACTAAACTTAGTAAACTTTAGGGTGAACTTCTGTTTAAAATGTATTTTAAATCAAGGCTTAGTAGATTTTCTTTATAAGGTTCAAATCAAAAAGTGCTGATTATAATGATTATAGCATGTTTTATCATATTCAAAATCTTGTATTGTTGATATATATTTCAGTGTTTAAGCTATTTACTCCTATAGATACGAGAAACTTTCCTTTAGCTGCATTAGCAAGTAACAGTTACTCATTAAAAAAGTTGATTTGAATGTTAAATCGAAAACAAATACCGTCATTAAAAACATTTTGTCAAAAAGAAAAGAAATATGTGGTTGCTAAGCTTTTCCTTTTGTATTATAAGTCATTGTTAAGTAACTGCTAAAATTAACAGTATTTATTGATGGTGTGACATATGTATGCGTACTGTTTGTTGCTAATCGTGAACTCTGCAAAGTGTTACGGGAAAGTTGATTTCTTATTAAAACAGTAACCTCATAAGCTGTGTACAAAGTAGTTTATATACAATGAGAGCGGTGTAGATAAAATGACCTGTATATTTTCGTATGTGATTAAAGTGCACATTTTCATGTTTGTAACAAAATGGTTAATGCAGTGACGAATAACTTGTTATTGACGTAGGACTGTGTATTGGTGGTTACGTATAAAAGTGGTTCATGAACAGTTACAAATGTTAGTGTTACTAAAAAAAGATATTGTTACAATACTTGAATTTCCTTATCAAAGGTTTGATGTTACATTCCTATTGATTAAGTAGTTTTCTTGGTTTCTCTCGACTAACTAGAACTTGAATTACGAATTATGATTCGTCATGATACCAATATTCCTGTTACACTAGAATTTTGTTACTCAACCGTGTTGTTCTCGTGTTCAGCACTGTGTTAGCAGTTGTGTTGTTTGGATATAAATACGAGATCCTAAACTTTGATTATTGTTCATAACCCATTTCAAATCTTAATAGCAACTAAAACCTTTAATAAAATATTGCATGTTAAAGTGCCCAAAAACGGATATCTACAAGAACATAAACAGAGAATTAATGATTTAATTCGTATTTCTGTATATCAAACTCTCCAAGGATAGGTTAGAGTTAGTACATTCTGAAATAAAATTTTATTTAATGCTAAAATATTCAACCCAAACTAACATTTTCACTGACTTGGTGCTTGAAAAGAACAAGCTGGGACCACAGCCATTTTTGACAGAATACCAATATTTGTAAAAAAGTAGGATGGTATTTAAGCAGTTTGTATGGTATCAAGATTCGCCAAGAAAATAACATTTTCAAGTAAATTGGAAAAACTTACTTTTTGTTTTAAGGTTATTAATGAAAAGTGAGAAATTTGATAATAACAGTTTCTCAAACGGATTTATAGTATGCTAACCTTGTTCTTGCGTCCAAGGTCATTATAGGTAAAAATGTATGGAAGGTTAGAAAAGGCGAAAACGTTTTACATTTCTTATGTGCCAAATAAACACATTTAAATTACACACTATCACATCTAAACATATATTTATGTAAATAAAAACACTTCCGGGGTTTCAGCATTTTCCAAAATTTTAAACCCCTCAGCTTTTAACTTAACTGTTTAATGTCCTTTGATATAGCAGAAAAAACTGTGAATAAATTTATGTTGCGACCTGAATAAAGAATATTGAAGCAGAGGTCATTTTACAGAGGTCATGCAAATGGAAAATAGAGTGAAAGACAGTTTTCACCCGAAGATATTCAGATCCACAACAATAGATGCAGCTTTAGATAATGACAGTAGTATTCTTGCAGTACAGTTAAGCTCTCTGACCAATGTGTTTCAAGTTTACAGTAAAGTTACCTATTAGAATGGAATCTGTTAACCCACTGTTGTCTTTAGAGTAATACTTTTTGTTTCCAATTTTGTCACAATATTGTTTGTTTGATATAATTGTTGTACGAACACAGGAATAGTATGTTACAGAACACAGGAACAGTATGTTACACGCATACAAATAAATGGGTGAAGTATTTTATTCTTTACTGAATATTATTATGTCGTAATTGTAGTTTGATTCAGGAAATTAGTCATCTGAATTGATTAATATTTGAATTTCCTTTTGTCACCAAGTTATTCGCAATAAAAACAGATACTTGTATTCTTCAATTTGATGTTTGAATCAAAAATAGTGATAATTCAATTGATAACTTTCTAAAGTAGATAACGTTTTGAAGTTTCTGTCAAACTGTATTTCATGTGTTTTATCCAAAGCAGATTGGTGTATGTTTCGTTAGTCAACATTGTTATTCTGTTGTTGTATCATTGTATTAGCAATTACTGTTGAGATTATAACCCAAAATAGGTGTATAAAAGTACAAGTGTTTGTACATCTTAACTATGTTAACAGGATCATACTAATAGTATTTTGTTGTTGTAAACAGATCAAATAAACATTCCACGTTTTTGTGTGCATAAATATGCGTTAGTGTAAGCAAGTGATTCTCTTCGCTACACATACAAAAGGCTATCAAATCTCGCCCCCTGACGTACAAGAGATGAAGTAATTCGTTTCATTTTTCTTGTATCTCAAAACGCATCACAAACTGCTGACACTTGACTGCAGTCCATGAAGTTTTCCTAAACCCTCCTATACCCTAAGGTTGGATGTACATTTTCTCTATTTTAATATGCAGATCTCATAACTTTTAAAAGTCTGTCCTATCATTCTCTAATCTCTAAAGTCAGTGTATTTTTAAGATGTTACATGATAAAAACAAAACTCAATAGACTTTCAATAATTTTTGGTTTTCAAATAAACTTCTAGATTAAAGTAGTAATTGGTTTTTACACTTTTTCGCCTAATAATCATAATATTGTTTAATTTTAGAACTGGTGAGTTTTAATAAAAAGATGAATTTAATATTTCACAATTAAAGCCTTTTTTATTTTAAAAGTACAAAAATTATGATTTTTTCAATCTGAATTTAACTGTTACGTAATGATATTATTCATCTGAAAGAGGGGATTTTTGATTAAATTTTAACTAAATTTTAATTAATTAAATATCTTTATAATGTACACTTATGGATTTGAAAACCTACTTCCAAACCCACATCATACGTGGGCGACCTTTCGGGTGAGTTATAGTCCCCTTTGGTACCTCCTTGGTAGGGGGACTACACATTATAGATAAAGATTCCTAAGTCCTCCTACCAAGTTTGGTTCTGCTAGCTCCAAAACTGTGGGAGGAGTTTCTGCACAAACAAATACACAACGTGAACTAACATAGGATGTGTTACCTTTTGTGATTAAGTAAGTGAAAAAACGTTTAGCAAACTAAGCCTACAAATTATTGGTCTCATTAACCCTAGAATTACAAGTTCTTAAACTATGTTTCTCCAAATTACTTGTGGATCTATACATTCGTTGATTGCAGATTTCTAGCGTTACACAATTACACAAAAATGTAACCAAACATATCGTAAACACTGCAATTATCCCGTTAATTTTTATCGGAGTTTCCAATGTATCATGCAGAGAAAATGAGGGATTTTATCCTTTTTTTTGTCAATTATTTACACTAAGTGTTGTAACGGGTATAATAATAAAGTTACTTAAGTTGATGCAATATTTGGATTCCGCGGTTAATGAACAGCATATAAAGAAGTTGGTACTTTGAAGGTTAATATGAATCTGAATGTTCAATACTTCTGATCTCTCTGAGGATGTAATATATATATACATATATATATCATAAAAGACTCATTATTTGCCAAGGGTTGAGTTACAGATTACTGAAATATTGAATCTGCACCAGTACGTTCACATTACCTTGGAAGGGAGGGTTATTAGTGTTATCCTACTTTTCTCCATGCTGTATCAATAGTAATATTTTGCAAAACCTTTTTGATTTTTATGAAGTTAATAAAGTCGTTATACCTAAACTAAGAGATCTAATGAGATATTTTCTTTCATGTTTCGAATTTCACTTTATGTGGTTGCACACCAAATTATCGTCAAAACAAAAACATCACTAAACAACAACATGTTTCAATGGGTTTAGATCATACACACAGAAGTTATTTCTAATTTGATTTTGAGTTTAGAATTTAATGTTCATAGTTTTAAGATTCTTGACAGAAATTACATAAATTGTTTTGGAGGATTTTAACAGGCGTCATGTTATTTGGAGATCTCATTTGAAACTTTAAAACAACACCAAAAACACCAATGAAAAATTGCATATCAATGTGCATGTTATTAATTCTTCTGTTAAACAATTAGTTTCCAGCATTTTATAATATACATTTAATGTTATAAATCCACATGTGCTTTGAATGAAACAAATGTGTAGCTTACTTGTCGACTAATAAAATAAGATTTTATCGAATACAAAATATACATCACATGTTAATATTTTTTCCTCACGCTCAAGATTTTCAGTTGAAATGATTTGTATTCCTATCTACAGAAGGCACGATTTGTTTGCTCATTTAATGACGAGTACTTTTAATCCGCATTAGAAATTACCTACAGTTTAAACGGGAGTCAATGTATATTCAGTAAATTTTCGCGTAACTCTGTAAATACATTTCAGCTTATGCTGTTAAAGTCTTATAAGAACAAGGGTTTCTTTTAATAGCATATTTGTTTATCTTATAACAACTAAATATGCCGTCTTTACGAAGGATTCATAGACTTTATACTACACTTCTAAAAATAAAAATAACTATATTTTTAAGGCAGAGTTTTTATCTTTATTCTTGTGCTTTTCCCAAACAACAGCGCTCGTTGTACGTTTAAACGATTTCAGAAGTATAAATTTTAGTTGCTAAAGGGAAATTTAACATACTTATATCATTAGTTACTTTACATCGAATTATTTAAAAGAAGGATCCGAGCGTGATCTAGATATTATCGTATCCTACTGGGAATTCGACAGTCTCGGATTAGAAACATGAAGCCACCAAACAGAGAAATGGTGCTACCAAACAAAGACCTGATGCTACCAAACAAAGACCTGATGCTACCAAACAGAGACATCGTGCTACCAAACAAAGACCTGATGCTACCAAACAAAGACCTGATGCTACCAAACAGAGACATCGTGCTACCAAACAAAGACCTGATGCTACCAAACAAAGACCTGATGCTA